ATTATTATTATTATTATTATTATTATTATTATTATTATTATTATTATTATTATTATTATTATTATTATAAAAGTAAATTATAGCCAAAATTTTAGTTTTTGCTATTTTTATAATTATTTTATGAATTTATTTTTATATTAGAAGAAAATAATAATTGAATACATTATCTATAGAGACTTATATATTCTTCGTGGTAAGAGCTACCTCTGCATAATATGCGCCAGCGATAACAATTATTTATTAAAATTATTTTAATCATTAATATTTTTATATAACAGTATACAATTATTTTAAAAGTTTAATATTAAAATCTTTGTCTTATTCTTAAATATTAATTTTATTTAAGAAATTATATTTTTAAATACATATTTATATTGAATTATTTTGATAATTAAAAACAAATAATTAAATTTCTTATATAATTACATCCAATCTAATAACCAAATTAACAAAAGTTAATAAATAAGTCTATTATTGATATATAAAAAAACAAGTAAAAAACATTTTTTATAAATATTTATATTTTCATTGCAATTATATTTACATATAATTTAAAAAAAACAAATGTTTTTTATTTCATCAAATTAACAAACATAAAACATAAAAATATAATTATATTTTTTATAAAAAAGATTGGAGGTGTGTTACAGTGGCGTAGTACTGGAAGTAGAAGGTTTTCTTTTTTTCCCTATTATATAGGTTCGATTTCTGCTATCTTTACAATATTTTACTTATAATTAAATGTTTTTTGTTTTTTTTATTTAATTAAAAAACAAAAATAAAAATAAGTTGTTTTTTTATATTAAGATAGTTTATATAAAGTATATTTAATATTTTTAAATTATTTAAACCTTATTAAAAATTATAGCTCAATATTGTTTATTTAATTAACTTTTTTTTTTAAGATTGTATTTAGTTAATTTTAAATATTTTATTTATATAATTATCAAATAATAATTCTATTATTATAAAATAGATGATAATCTTTATAAAAAATAAATCTAACCCATCTTAACTATTAATAACCTTTTTTTTTTATTATAATAAAAAAAAAATTAAAATTTATTACTAATAGTAAAATTTATAAATGTGTAAAACAACAAAAACACACATTAATAAAATAAAATTACTAGTTATTAACAAAATAATAATAATTAATACAAATAAAAAATATTATTAAAAACTAAAATCAAAACCTATTCATCATAGCAAATTATTTAAAATTTAATCAATTAATTAATTTTCTCGATTTTAAACCTAAATGGATAAAAACATAAAACTCACAACATTATCTATTTAAAAAAATATTAACACACAAAAATATCAAAACTACCAAAAAATAAAATTATAATAAAGATATTAAATATAATATTCTAAAAATATTTAAGCTTCCAAACATTAAAAAGTAATAAACAAAAATTTATATTTTTTTATTCTTCTATTTATAGAACATGTAAGTAATATAATATTATATATATTCAATTCTCTTTCTCTTATTTGCCATAACCGAAAGGTTGCATATATGATAAATAAATAAATTATAAAAAAAATTAAATAATTTACAAAAAATATTTGAATTATTAATAATGTATTTATTAACAAAAAATTTCTTTTGTCCAAAACCAAATATTACAAATAATGCTATCCGAGACTACTACTATACCTGCAAAAAATTACAATATTCCTAGTACTGAATCTCAAAAACTATCAAAACAACTATGCATATAAACTGCATTATGTAAACTAATAAAGATATACTATAAGTGATGTGCGATATTGGATATCTACTAGCATATACGTAGTGTGTGGCGTAGCTATAAGTGCACTTTATGTACGCCTTACCAATAGAAGAAATGCGAACTATGATTTCATGGACTTTTGAGTGGAATTGCGGGAATAAAATCAATCTTTCGTGAAGGTGGTCTGAAAGATGAGGCGTGGTTTGATACGAAAAAAACCCAATTACATTAACACTTTTGTACAATAGGGAAAAGAGAAAAAACCTCTGCTTCCAGGTACGACACTACACCACTGTACCACACCTCCGTACGGACGCTTCATATTTCTGTGTCACGTCGCACATAGATATCACGTATGGGAGGAATATATCGGTCTTTCTCCATCGCGGGACCGATTCCTAATTCCTTCTTTTATACACTTAAATCCCTATTTTTCTTTTCACCTATTTCTTAAAAATGGCACCCCCACAAGAGATAGTCAACGCTGCCACGGAGCTTTCCAAGATTCTGACGAAACTTGGAGTAGCCCATGCCATTATTGGCGGTGCTGCGGTAAACATGTTAGGGTCGGCGAGGGTTACAAAGGTGAGAACGTTTCCCCGCAGCCGATATTGCTGAGGGTTATCTAGACCGGCTGGATTTGGAAAACCTTGTATATAAATCCGCCGATTGTGTATTTCAGGTAGAACATTCTGGAAACAATAGTCACAATCTAGTTATTTAAATAAACTAAGATGCGAAAATCACACTAACATCGTCCGAGTAAGGATGTCGACGTCCTCGCGGAGGCTGAGGCTCTCCGGCATCGCGAACAACTTCTCGGAAATAGCAATAGATTCAGCATGTCCAACGTACAACTCCTCTACACCAGCGTAAGCCACACCGAGTCAATCGATACAATCGAAGATGTTGCAGTTACGGATTTGAACTAATATTTCCCATCTATAGGAGAGTGGTGTTGTCATACCAATCGGAATCCTTGAGCAAGGCTCCTTCGTCGGAATGCCTGAGCTAGCCAACATTCCGATATTAAAAATCGAAACGAGTAAGTTCTTTAAAACGACTGTATAAATTACTTATTATGAGGAGTTATTAAGTCTAGAAGTCCCGGTAGTCCACCCAGCAATGCTAGTTTGCATGAAGCTTTCAAGATGGAACTGGATTTCAGATTCCACCCGACCACAGTCCGTCCTCAAAGCAGATTCTGACTTCAAAGACATTCTTTTTATGTTGGAATTACTCGCTCAGGGCGGTGAACGAATAGATTTCAGAGGAATTGACGAAGATCGCATTGACAGGCATATGGAGTATTTTCAAAAGCTTCGATCCAAATCCAAACGGGTAGATGAGTTACTGAAGATTGTCCTTGACTAAATAAAGAGAGTCTGATGCCAAAATCCTATGATATGGAGTTAAATTGCAAAAATTTAATCATTATCGCCCGATATGGCTCGTCGTCCCCGGGCAATTCCCAAGCCTCGATTTCCTGAATTGCTATTTTTTGTCTGGCGTTAAATTCCTGTTCGGGTTCAGTCTCCTCCTCTGGTACGTATATTTTCCCGCCAACATTGGGCTCCTTGTAAATAGCTGCTGCGATTAGGATGTGAAGGGAAGATTGTGCTAGGCATCTATCCGCAGCGTCTTCAGGATAGTCCTCCATACATCGAATCAATGAAATGCAATGTTCCGGGAGTTTCGGGAGATACAATTGTCGAGCTGAATCGAATGGTGAGTGGACCAGATCACTGTGACAGCTTGAAAGGTGCACGAGCGATCCTGGTATTAGACGTAGACGGGTAGGGAACCGTTGTCGATCCGCTTCATGAACAAAATGATAGCCTTTCATTCCTAGTGGGCCTTGAGCTCTTGCACCAAGTGGTGGGTCTACAAGCTTGAACCCCATATCTGCATTTTGTAGGAGGCTCACGGCTTCCACCAAACGCAAGTCGTCGACGGCAAAATCATAGACCTATACTCGAGTCAGTCCGACCGTCTTGCCGTTCTTCGCACCGGATAAATAGGAATAGCCAAACTCACACAAATTACTGCCGGATATCCCCAATATAGGTGAACTTGATCCCCCCATTGTGTGAGGTGTATCCCGTGGTCGAGGAGAAGGTTTGTCCCTCGGGCAAAGGCTTTCATTAGTCCATTGGAGTCCATGGGTCCTAGGGATAGCAAGCAAATCTAAAGTCCGGTTCGCTGGTACTTAAGCCGAAATACAGGCTTGGTAGAGCTAATTAGATGTTCCGTTGTCTCGTCACTAGACTCCTCAATTGTGTTGCTTAGGGCAAAAGGTGGTTATTGTTAGCAGTCATGGTTCGGAAGTACTTAGAAAAACCAGTAGCCGGAAAAATACAACAAAAACAATGAATCGCCGTGATAAGGGTTAATAATTAAATAATGATTAATTATTAAAGAATTATTAATTAATTATATGATAATTTTGTCAAGATACGATCACTAGAGGTTACCTTCTACCTGAATAGAGACACTTGTTTTCTATCTAATATTATTAGTTTACCTTCTACGTAATTTTATTAAGAACTAATTTATCTATCACTTGATATTAATATACTTATTTTATTTTATTTATATATATAACTCTATATTTTATATATTTATTTGAACAAAATTAATTTATTATAAATTTATATTTTCATTTATAATTTTTAACAACTTATGAGTTTAGTATAAATATCATATTATTAAATTAAAAATTTATAATATATTATTATTTATTTTTTTATTTAATTTTCTAAATTTAAAAATATCTAAATTTATTAATTATTTTTAAAAAAAATCTAATTATATATATTGTCAGAATACGATGACATGGAAAATAACAGGTTACTTTCTATTTAAACACATATTCATCTTTTATATAGTATTATTAGTTCATTTCTATCTAATTTCACTAGTAATCAACGTATTTTTTATCTAATATTAATGTACTTACTTATTCTATTGTATTTATATATATAAATTTATATTTTATATAACGTGTTCTACCCACTTTGCGCACACACCCAGTTATGCCGCACACTTTTTATATAATTTTTATAATTTTTAATTTAATTTAAATAAATCTAAAGAAAATATAATTAAAATTAAGTTATATTTATTTATAATATATTCAATTTTCAAAAAATTATATAGTTAATATATTTAATTTTTAATTAATTTCTAAAAGCTAGTTATTTACTATAAAATTTTATATTGTGTTAGAATAACTGGGCGGGAATTATGAGATCGCAATCTATTAACTATGTGTATGGGTAGAAAATAGAATGAAGAAGGTTTATAACTAGAAAATCTATTAATTTATAACTATATAAGTTAATAGCTGAAGAATAAAATACATATAAACAGATCTACTGTGCTCTTATATAATAAAGATTGTAATGATTGATTAGTGATCGATTATTATTTAATTATTAACTCTTATCACTATAATACATTACTTTTATTGTATTTTTCTAATTACTAATTTATTTATTTATTTATTTATCATACACGCGTGCAACCTTTCGGTTATGGCAGTTTGAAGAAACTGTTTTAATACATGATTTTCGCACCTCATTTTGATTTTTACACATAAATATAAAATAGATAGTAAACTGAAAAATAGAATGAAATTTGGAAAGTACTTTTTATTGTTATTTTTTATTTTTTGTTTTTATTTTTATTTTGGGATTTTCTTCTTATCCCTTGTGTTTTTTTTTTTTATAAAAAGAACAATGTTATGAATCTATTATTCTTATTTACTTACTTTAATATAATATTTAAGATTTATTATTTATTTCTGGAATTTTATAATCTTATTTTAGATTTTTAGGTTTTTTTATTTTATAAGTAAACTATTTTTTTGATTTTTATTACTTCTTTATATAATATTTGTTTTATTTAAGAATTTTTCCAATAAAATCATACTATCTTTATTAAATAATAAATAATTATAATCAAATTATTTTTTATTTTTAAATTTTTCTTTTAATATCTTTTTTTTTTTTTTATAAAATTGGCATTTTATAATTAAATATTTTAGTATTTATGGTGTATTTCTGTATAAATAATTTTTATTTAAAACCCCAGAATTTGATATTTTAATTAAATAATTGTTAAAGTAATCATATCTGATTTTTAATTGTATTAAAGTTGAAATAAATTTATTATTAAATTTAGTAAAATTTTTATTTTTATTTAA